AAGAGATAGAGAGAGAGAAAAGGAAGGAGGGAGGCGCCGGTTTCCACTCAGCTGGAGAGAGCTGTTTGGAAAACTACATGATAGAACCTTGGCGTGTTACAGTCTACAGGGCTCAGAAAGGGGACCCCGCACCGTAGGTCATGGCCCCAAGGATTTGAGAGTTCAAATTTCATACAGTTTATCCCAGCATCAGAGACTCTGATAGAGAAGAGAGTCTAGAATCCCGGGTCAGAGCAGGCACAGTCCCAGGGGAGAAGAATGGTGGGATTTGGCGAAAGCATAGTGAGACGACATTGGAGGCTCTGTCCACGGGAGTGCTCAGGGCTGTCCGGGGACTGGCGTGCCAAGGGCTAGTTCAGGGTGAGGCCAGGCTCTGGCTGCACAGCACTCAACATGCTTGCTTCCCCAGTCTGGACACTCCTCCGGGGACGACAATGAAGACTGTGGTTTGGGGACCTCGGGGATTTGGCAGCTCCTCGGCTTGTCATCACCAGAGACAGCTTCTCTGTGGCATCAGCAAGGGGCTCCAGTCCCAGGGGAACCTGCTGGGGCTAAGGCCCGGAGCTGACCCAGTCTGAGGAGGGAGGCAGGCCAGCACTGAAGCCCAGCTGCTTCCCCTAGGAGCAGGGAGGTCTCAGGACTTAACCTCCCAGAACCTGTGTCCCACCTGAAGGTAGCAGATAAGGACCTGCCACAGCAGAGGCGCCACGAGGCACACACGAGGTCTGGCACCCAGAGGGCCAGGGGCAACACTTGCACAAGCAGTGCGGTCGAGTCCCGTGGTAAGAAGGTCTCTCCTTGCTTACGTGGGTTTCTGTTCCTCACCGTCACCAGAGTCCTCCCCGCGCCTTCTGCAGACTTCAGAAGGGCTGGCTCAGTACCGAGGAGCCCGTGTGTGAACAAGAGAGTGTGAGTGTGTGAGTGTGCAAGATGGAACTGTGTGCATGTGAGCTGTGTGTGTGTACAAGGTATGTGGGTTGTGTGGGGGGTGTCAGGGTGTGAGTTGTGAGTGTGTGCGTGTGTGTGAGCCGTAGTCAGGTGCTCACATCCATGGAAGCCGGATTCATGGGCCTGGCTCTTTGGGTTTGAAAGTCCCTCACTGTGACCCTCAATCCTTGCCACAGTCCCCCCTCCTTCCCGAGTCTCCCCTGCCCTCAGCACCTGGGAGCCCCAGTCCAGCAGCTGCCGGAAGCACAGAGGCCCCAGGCTGGCCCTCAGCCCCAGCTCACCCAGCCGGAAAGTGGTGACTTCACCCACGAAGTCCACGCGGGGCTGGTGGCCTCTGGTGACCAGGCGCAGGCCTAAGAAGGGTCCGGAGGATGCCACAGGAACTGGGATGGTCAGGCCGCAGAGAGGGGCCCCCAGGGCCTGGGGCGCCCCCCGCGGGCCCTCGTAGAACTGCAGGTAGGAGCCGGAGTCGCACCAGTCGGCTGGCGCGGGCGAGGAGGCGTTGGGCGCTGGGGGGACCGGCGACACCGAGGTCAGGCTGTAGACCAGGAAGAAGCGGAACTGGAAGCGGATCCGGTCGCCGGGGGCAGCCCGCAGCCAGAGCTGGCAGTCGGTGTCAGGAGCCACGAAGTAGAACCTGCGCGATGCGGAGTGCGAGCGCAGCAGCAGCCCGTCGCCCTGCCACGTCTGCCCGCACAGGTCCACCAGGTCGGCTGCAGGGAAAGCGCCGACCCTGGAGCCCCGCAGCCGCGCTGTGTGACCCGGCGCACTCACGCACCCTTTCTGAGCTCCAGTTCCTCATCGGCAAAAATCTCAGAATGCTTGTGAGGATTAAATGATTTACTTTACATCATTTCATTCGAATTCACAATTCCTTGTTCAAAAGCCCTCGGGTGTGTTTCAGGATTTTCTAGGCTTCAGAAAGCTAATCTGGGGTACACACAGTGTACTAGGGTGCAGGCCCTGACCAGCCTGCAGCTGCCCTCAACTAGGGGGAGTCTCAGGGCAAATGAAGACAAGAAACAGCTTTGCAGTTCCGGTCAGGTGTTGCTAGTAAGTTAAGAACAAATTCTGGTTTTCAGGTCTCGGTATTTTGGAATTGCAGCCGGACAGTCGTGGCTGTCCCAGAGCACAGGGCTTAGGACAGCGCCGGCTCAGTTACTGCTGTTCTCCTGCGTCTGTTCCAGGGTGCCTGCCCACCCCACGGCATTCCCTTTCCCTTTCCCACACAGCCGGTGTGCAGTTCGAATTCTGGACGTGGGGGTTTGAAAAACACACCGGGCCATGTGCTTGTGTGCCCCAAAGTCCAGAGAGGACGAAGAAATGGAGAAGGGACTGCAGTGTGACCATCCCCGTGGGAGGTGCTTTCTCCCTCTGTCTCTGGTGAGCCCAGGTGCCCACTGGTAAACTAAGTAAATAAGTAAACCTAAAGAAATAAATATGAAAACAAGAGAACGAGCCCTCGGGATTCTAACTCTGTTTGCCAGGGATTGCTGTGTGAACATAGTGCTAGACAATGAGATTTCAGGGAGTTCTGTTGTAAGTTCTGGCAAAACCGTTTCCTCCCCGATGAAGAAACAGGGGGGATGGGGCTGGCAGGTGTCGCTGTGGTTGAGGTACTGGACTCCCACGTGTCCAACCAAGGTTCGAGTCTGGGATCTGGTGGCTTGATTTTTCACTCTTTCTTTCTATCTCTCTCTGGTCAAATGAAAGATAATAATAACAGGAGTCAGCAGGTGGTGTGGTGGTTAAGGTGCTAGACTCCCACCGGGCAACGATGGTTTGAGTCTCAGATTAGTAGCTTGCTTTCTCACTTTCTCTCTGGAGATAATTCATCGTCATAATAATTAAGAAAATTAAATACATAATTATTTAAAATAAAATAATAATAATAGTAACAAAACAAATATTTTTTTAAAAGGGGAGGGCCAGCCGGTAACATGATGGTTAAGGGCTCTGGGCACCTGCATGGCTGACCACAGTTCGAGTCCTGGACTTGTTGGCTTGCTGTCATCTCTCTCTCACTCTGTCCCTCTCTGGTCAAATTAAAATAAATAAAGTTAAGTAAAATAATTTTTTAAAGGGGGTGGAGATCTACATGACAAGCAGTCCCTTTTCCTTCCTGCTTTATTCATTTTTAATTTATTTGTTTTAAGTTTTTGCCATAGGGTACATGCACTCACCAGAGACAATGAGAGGGAAAGTGAGAAATTGCCCCGAGAGGGGATGGCCACAGAGCAGTCCCTGGGATTTGGGGCATGCATGCACATGCACCCTGCACAATTTTCAAGCTGCTGGGACAGAGAATAAGAGGTGGATTTTCTGGTGTAAGGTGGGGCCACAAGAGAGTGCTTGAGGACCATTCAGGTGTGGGTCTGCAGGGAGGAGATCCATCAGGGCTCAGCATGTGGGAGCATCTCCCCAAATGCACACGGACCTACCGAGACCCACACCTGCCCTGGAGGCACAGGAGGGCAGGGTGGAGTTTAGGAGGGAGTAGGCAGGGATCTTGTACATGCCAGGCGTTGATCTCATCTTAAATGTACAATAAGTCTCTTAGGGGACCAGCAGTTAGCGTAATGGCTATGTTGCTGAACTCCCACGTAGTCGACCGCGGTTCGAGTCCCGGACCCGGTGGCTTAAACTCACGCTGGGCACGTGTGCGTGCGTGCCCAAGATCCTGAGAGGAGAATGGAGGAGAAGGGATTGTGGCGTGGCCATTCCCCCTGGGGGGTGATTTCCTGCTTTCTATCTCTCTGTCTCTCTCTGTCTGTCTGGTGAGCGCATGCGCCCTATAGTATAAACCTCTCCAAAAAAAAAGAAAAAGGAAAAAAAAATAAGTCTCTTAGGCCAGGTGGTCGCACAGTGGTAGAGGCTCCTGGATCCCACATGGCCAAACATGCAGTTTGAGGCCTCGACCCAGCAGTTTGGACAAAACAACGGGCATGTGTGCATGCTCAAAATCCTGAAAGAAAGGGGACCAGCAGATGGTTACATTGCTGGACTCCCACTTGGCCAACTGCAGTTTGAGTCCCAGGCCTGGTGGCTTCAAACTCTCACCAAGCACGTGTGCATGTGTGCCCAAGATTCTAGGAGAATGGAGGAGAAGGATTGTGGCATGGCCATCCCCCCTGGGGGGTGAGTTCTTGCTTTCTGTTTCTCTCTGTCTTTCTGGTGAGTGCATGTGCGCTATAGCAAAAGTTTCTCCACTGGGGCCGGCAGTGGCATGGAGGTTATGGGCACTGGACTCCCACATGGCCAATCGCAGTTTGAGTCCCAGACCTGGTGGCTTGCTTTTTCACTTGCTCTCTTCTCTCTCTCTCACTCTGTCCCTCTCTGGTCAAATTAAAAATAAGTAGATAGGAGCTGGCAGGTGGTGTGGTGGTTGAAGGCGTTGGACTCCCACATGGCTAACTGCAGTGCGAGTCCTGGCGACTTGCTTTCTCACTTTCTCTCTCTCTCTCTCTGTCCCTCTCTGGTCAAATTAAGATAAATAAATAAGGTTAAATAAAATAAGTTTTTAAAATAAATTAATTAAATATGTCTTTTTAAAAAATTTCTCCGAAGAGAAATTTTTTTGTCATTCATTTCTTTTTCTTTCTTTCTTTTTTTCTATAGAGCACGCACACTCACCAGAAAGACAGGGGGGAGAGACAGAAACAGAAAGCAAGAAATCGCCCCCCCCCCAGGAGGGGATGATCACGCCGCAATTCCTTCTTCTCCATTCTCCTCTCACGATTTTGGGCATGCATGCATATGTGCCTGGCATGAGTTTAAGCCACTGGGTCCGGGACTTGAACTGCAGTCAACTAAATGGGAGTCCAGCAATGTAGCCATTACACTATCTGCTGGTCCCTTTTCTCTCTTTTTTTTTTTTTTTCTCTCTCTCTCATCCTTTACATTC